GGTTTTTCCTGAACTGAATTTTTCTACACCAAAAACATTTTTTGGAAAAGTATCAAACTTTATTCCTCTAACATAGAAGACTCGAGACGCTAAACACATTATTGGATCAAAATTCGTCGTCTACAATGAAAAGAAAACGACGTTGGACAGACACCTGATCAAGTTTCCTTTTTGTGTGTGTTTGTAGGGACATCAGCGTGGTTGATTTTTTTTTTGTACGATCTGTTCTCTAATATTTTTGTACGGTTTCTCCTGAACTGATATTTTCTACACCAAAAACATTAGTCTAACATTATTCTTAATTTGGTTGATAGAAGACTCGAGATGCTAAACACATTATTGGATCAAAATTCATCGTCTACAGCGAAAAGAAAACGACGCTTGACGGACACCTGATCAAGTTTCCTTTTGTGTGTGTGTGTTTATAGGGACACCAGCGTGGTCGATTTTTTTGTACGGTCCGTTCTCTAATATTTTTGTATGTTTTTTTCTAAACTGAATTTTTGTACACCAAAAACATTACTCTAACATTACTCTTAATTTGGTTGATAGAAGGCTCGAGACGCTAAACACATTATTGGACCAAAATTCGTCGTCTACAGCGAAAAGAAAGCGATGCTGGACAGACATCTGGTCAAGTTTATTTTTTTTATGTGTGTTCATAAGGATATACCGGCTCAGTCTCTCAGAGATGCTCATAAAGATAGGGATGTGTATGTGTGCGTTCATAAAAATGAGTGTATGCGTGCATATATGAGCACTTGTGTCTATAATGATGTTAAAACAATACAGTGTTGCAGATTTTTTTTTAAAGGGGGACTCCCAGACCTCTGCATCAGAGTGATGCATACGGCCATCTTATTAACCAAATAAAGCAATGCCAACATGATTCCAAGGTCTTCAAAAGTAATAAAAAAGCAAAGAAGGCTCACACAGAGCCAAACAAGACTAGAAACACCAACTAGCCACGAAAAGACGCCACGGCCGGCTGGCTAAAAATAAATAGGTAAACTAATTGCCTATGTTGCAGATGTTGGTGTATTTTTTATAGACATGATGAAACCTTACTCTCTCCTTCCATCTATATAGGACCTAATGCATGTTTTAAGACCGCCTTTGATTATTGACAAGATTAATAGTACATGACATGCACAATATGAAAATCACACACGAATTTAACGGTGTGCTTTGTGTTAATTGCATGTCATATATTATTGTTTTAATATTTGGTTAAAGTTAGCCTCGAAAAACGCATTAGGTTCTATATAGATGGAAGGAGGGAGTAATATGTTTGATTTTGTAAGTAGGAGTACAAATTAAAACTCAAAATACTTTTAAACGCAATAACAAAGTTGCGTCGACGTATTCTTCGACTCATGTGTCGAGAGGTTGCATTCTGCGTGGGAAATCGTTAGCTTCTGGAGACGATGAGCGCACGGAGCGGGTGCTTCATCACGGTGGTGAAATCGAGCGTCTCCGCCATGTCCACCTTGGCCCCCTCCGCTGCCGGCCGCCACTCCAGCTCCCTCACCATTCTCGCCACGAAGTACTCGGCGTGGTGCATGCCCAGCGTGTACCCCGGGCACATCCTGCGGCCTGCGCCGAAAGGCATCATCTTGATCTCCCTGCTCCCCGTGATGTCCACTCCGTGCCCCTCGCCGCCCTCCAGGAACCTCTCCGGACGGAACTCCCGCGCCGCCGTCCACACAGTCTCGTCGCGGCCAATCTCGGCTACCAGGAAGTTGACCTCCGCTCCCTTGGGCACCGCGTAGGCCGCGATCTCCGCGTCGCCGCTCTGCACGCCGTGCGGGAGGACGAAATGGCCTGGCGGGTGCAGCCGAAGGCCCTCGAGCACGACGGCCTTCAGGTACGGCATTGCCTGCAGGTTGTTGAGCTCTGGATCGGCTTTCACCTCCTCGTAGACCTTGGTCTGGACGTCGGGGTGTTGCACGAGCTCGGCCATGATCCACTCCAGCAAGGTCACCGTGGTATCCGTCCCACCGTTCATGAACTCGGAGCAGAGGGCGACCATCTCGGCGTCAGTGAGCTGGCGGCCGCCCTCATCGGCCACGCGGACGGCGAGGAGGGAGTCGGCGTAGCACGGCGGGTCACCGTCGCCGCGCTTCGCGTGGATGAGCGGGACGAATACCTCGTCCTGCCTCCTGCGCACAGCGAGGCACGCCGCCCAGCGTCTGCCGAAGAGCCTCTTAGTGACCGCCGGGAAGAAGGCGAAGACCGGGAACGTGGTGAGCGAGAGTAGCGCCTGGTGCTGCAGCTCCTCCACCTCGTCGAGCGCCTCCCGTCCGAGCCGTGCGCCGAAGCACATGTACACGAGCAGCTCGAACATGGCGCGGCGCAGGAGCGGCCTGAGCGTCACGGCGTCCTGGCGCTGCGATTGCTGCTCGCTGAGGAGGCTGGAGACGAGGCCGTCGCACGCCCACCTCCTCGCCGGCGCGAAGAGACCAACACGGGCCGGGCTGAGCGCCTCCCCGGCGAGGTTCCGGCGGAGGAGGCGCCAGTAGGGCCCGTAGGAGGAGGAGCTGATGTCACGTCCCCCGGACGTGAACAAGCGGGTGGGGTCGACCGGCGGCGGCCTGTCGGCGAAGGTGGCGCCGCCCTGGACGAGCGCGCGGTGGGCCAGCTTGCGGTCGGCGACGAAGACGAGCGTGCGGAAGAGGCGCACGGAGAAGACGGGCCCGTGGCGCGCGTGGAGGTCGACGAGCAGCGGGCCCAGGTCGAATATGGACCGGCGGAGCGCGAGGAACTTGGCGAGGAAGAGCAGCGCCGGCGGGCCGGGCGGGAGCCCCGCCTTCCCGCGTCCATGTCTGCTGCGACCAATCAGCACGAACAGCGAGACCGCAAGCGTGACGGAGCCGAGGAGGAGCAGCAGGGGCGTGGTGGAGGCGGAATAGGAGGCGGCCTGATCCATTGCCGGTGCAGCAAGATCCGGACTTGCTGGGCATGCACCAACGAGTTGCAGCGTTAGCGGCATTTTATACCACCTCCAGCGAGTTAGAGTTGTTCCGTCTCTTTTCTTGTGCCATTGAGGAGACTAAGCGATGCTAAATTTTCTGAGTAAGACACGCCGGATCAGCCGCTGTCGACAAAGGAGTGAGTGGTGGAGAGAAGAATAACACTGCGCGGCTACCACATATGCACGCGTGTGGTGTGACAGTGGAGAAGTGGTCGTCTGAAGGACGGAAGAGAAAACATGGCTGCTAGACACCTGGGGCGATTTTGTTACGTGAATGAAAATGAGGTGACGAGGACGAGGAGGAGAAAAGTTGGATGGATAGAGATGGAGGAACCAGAACAGAACCAGTGGACACCAAAGGATGGATAGAGCTACATTTTTATGAGAGCAACCGATTAAAGAATACCCTTGCTGGAGCATCATAAGACTAGCCATAATGAAGAGTAACGTACACTAGTAATATACACATTTCCCTAGACTATATTACTACTTTCATAGTGGGTAGTAACATAAGTGTGATAACATACAAAGCTTCATTTATTAGGTTATAGACTCATATTGTATTGGGACATGTGATGTTACAGTAACTAGCTAAGTTACTGAAACTACCTCTCTCCTCATTAAATCATTGCCACATAAGCAAATTTGCTGAATTGGACTCGATGTTACTGCTGAAGTTACTTCCATTGTAACTAGTCTAAGGATCATTTTTGTGAGATAAGAGTGCTTTAAGTGGAGCGTCCAATCACCATCTGTTAGAATTGTGTTGAATATTATTATATAAGGTAGATTATAGTTGGACTTGGAGTCGTACAGTGTGTAGACAGGATATGGAGTCGTCTTCAAGTAGAACACTTGTACTCTAGGTCTTCTATATTTTATATAATGAGATGGTAGACACACGATGTAACCTATGGCAACATAATAGCACAGGCACGCAAGGGGACCCGACATCGTGTGCCGGTGCCCGGACGGTCGGGTGCGGTGTTGTAGCGGTGTCATTGGAAGGAGCACCCGTAATCAGGCCCGGGAGATGTAGCCATATCGATGAACCTCGTTAACAAATCTCGGTCTCGTGTTCGTGGCGTCTCGAATTTATTTTAATAAATAGTATCACGAGCAAGGTTTTGAGGAGGTGTGGGACTTACCTAGGGGAGAAAGAACAACGACGAAATCTGCAGGAGACGGTCGTAATACGGGACGGATCATACCTCAACGAGTTGCGGTTTAGACTTTAGAGCAACTCTAGCAGACCCCGCAAAAATACGACCCGTAAAACGTGTTTGCAGGCTCATGAAAATCGCTTTTGCGGGTCAAAAACATACGCGTTCAAGCAGAACCTGTATCTAAACCTGCATAATTTGAAAAACTACTTTTGCGGGAGAAATTGCACAAACACAGTTCATCACATACTACATTGTTCATCTCATACTACATAGTTCATCACACTAGAAGCATACATACTACATTAAGCTAGTACTAGGGGGTCGGATCTAAACGGCGGCGAGGTCGCGGCAACTGGACGATGCCGTGAAGGAGCCGGACGCTCACTCCTCCTCGCCGGAGCTATAGAGATCGACGAACTTCTCCGCCTGCCCCACGCGGATGCGGCGCCACTCTTCGGCCTTCTCCTTGGCGGCGACCGCCTGTCGTCACTCGAGGGCTTCGAGCTCCTCGGCGTGGCGGCGGCGCTCCTCCTCCTCACGCACGCTCCGCTCGGCGATGGCGGCGGCGACGGCGTCGAACTTCGCGACGTAGTCCTCGGGCCCGACGACCCCGCGGCGGCCGAGCGGAGCGGGCTCCTCGGGCTCCTCCTTCACCGGCATGAAGGGGAACGGCGCCGACGGCTCCGGCTCCTCCTTCTCGTCCGACCACTCCCTCTTCACGGGGAGGAAGCCTGCGGCGGAGGAGGAGGAGGATTCGGCATACGAAGAATGCGCGGAGGAGAACGACGCGCGCCGGCGGTCGTACTCCACCTTCTCGTGGCGGTAGAAGCTCGCCGGCGGCAAAAGCCCGCGGTTGGTCCACTTCCGCGCGCTGCGCTTCCTCGCGCCGTTGGGCCGGACGCGCCGCTCGCGATTTGAGTCCCTCTCATTGCCGGATCGGCTGCCGGAGCCGCGTCCGGAGCTCCACATTCGCCCCCACATGGCGGCTGGAGGCGGGACGGAGGGTCGCCACCGACGAGAAATTGGGAGAGGAGAAAGGGGAATCGGGTGGCTCGCGGTGACGGTGGGATAGGGTTTGGACCCGCAAAAGGGTCGCGGAACCGCACTTACAGTGATCGGGGCGTGCGGTTTGCGGGCTGCGGCAAAAGTTTTTGCGGGCCGGGCGAGTATGCAGGCTCTGTTCTGGCCGCAAAATTGGCCTGAGCCCGCATACTCGCCGGAATTTTTTGCAGGCCGGGCGTTTTGCGGGGTTTGCTAGAGTTGCTCTTAGAAGCAGACTAGGAAACATGCCCGTGCGTTGCAATGGGAGAAAAAGGCCTTCACATGCCCTTTCGCACTGAGCATGGCTAAAGACCTCACCCTCTGTCCATAACATAATAAACATGACTATAATACCTCATCCTCAGTTCCACATCCTCCATTTCAATATAACACCAGACACATGTTTCCGCTTGTCGTCTTTACCGTCCTCGTCACCGGTGGTCGTAGTATTAGCTGTCACTAACCAAGGTTGGCAAGGTCCAATTGTTGGGGAACACAGTAATTTCAAAAAAATTCCTACGCACACATAAGATCATGGTGATGCATAGCAATAAAAGGGGAGAGTATCGTCTACGTACCCTCGTAGACCGTAAGCAGAAGCGTTATGATAACGTGGTTGATGTAGTCGTACGTCTTCACGATCGACCGATCTAGCACCGAAGGTACGACACCTCCGCGATCTGCACATGTTTGGCTCGGTGACGTCCCGCAAACTCATGATCCAGTAGAGCTTCAAGGGAGAGTTTCTCAGCATGACGGCGTGATGACGGTGATGATGTTGCTACCGGAACAGGGCTTCGCCTAAGCACCGCTACGATATAACAGAGGTGGATTATGGTGGAGGGGGGCACCGCACACGACTAAAAGATCAATGATCAACTTGTGTATCCTTGGGGTGCCCCCTCCCCCGTATATAAAGGAGTGGAGGAGGGGGAGGGCCGGCCCTCTCTACGGCGCGCCCTAGGGGAGTCCTACTCCCTCCGGGAGTAGGATTCCCCCCTTTCCAAGTAGGAGTAGGAGAGGAAGGAAGGAGGAGAGAGGAAGGAAGGAAAGGGGGCCGGCCCCCCTCCCAATTCGGATTGGGCTTGGGGGGCGCGCCTCCCTCTTTT